TCACCTCTTCCTGAACTCTGCTCCGCTGTAGGGCGGACCATGTAGGATCGGGTGAAAAGGTTTTAGTTGAAGCACTTCCATAGTCGCAAAGCTTGAGTATAAAAGAGTCGGTAAGCAAAAGATTTTCCATTTTCAGATCACGATGAATGATAGGAGGAGATTGTTGGTGCATGTGTTGTACAGCCGAGGATATTTGATGCATTATTTGGAGGATTAGAGAATGAGAAAGAAGAATACCCTGCCTTGGAGCTGGCAAATGGTCTGTTAGCTGGCCACCTAATAAAAAGCAGACATTGTAAGGTAAAATAAGGAGGGTACTGACCTCTACAAAATTCAGTTACTATCAAGAATTCGGCACCAATGTGTCTACTTTTTTCCTTACCAACCGAAGCAGCGCTCACAAAAGTAATAATATTTGGATGTCCGCTAAGTTTTTTCTACAAAATTTAGGCCAAAAAAAAGTTACAATTATCTCAATCTCGCGAATAATGCTTTTACTAGTTTCTTCGTCATGCGCCAGTAAACGCTGAAAATAAAAAAATGAACTAAGGTACCTTTAAGGCATAATGCTGCCCTTTTGATTGGTCCACAGCCTCGAAAACCGTGCCATAGCCACCTTTGACAAGATTATACATTAATAACAAAAATACCTTCTGCAATAAGTCGCTTCACACGAAGCATGCGAGTACCAACCTCTACATTTTGTCCAATGAAATCATTTTCTGGACGGTTAGAGGAGGAATTTCCAAAGTAACTAAATGCATTCCTAAAGAAATCTTCCATCTCCAAAAAGGAGGAAGTCAAAGACGCGGGGTAGCAGAGAAACGCACGGTAGTCCAAAAACGAATATCAAATTATCCATTAGTAAATTCTTTAGATTGAACTAGATGTTATTACTTTTGCTACCTAATTTATCAATTATTTTCAATTCTTTTTTAGCGACAGAATACGTTCATGATTATTGCCATGTATCCACGTTGAGTGATTTTATGACAAAGAGAATAGAATAATATAATTAAAAATTTGCTTGAATATATGCTAATTATACTTTTTGAATGAACTCATATACAGTAAGTATTCCTTTAAGTTCTCTGATGTCTCGTGTCTCGACAATCATGAGTCAAGTACATCGAGATCAGGAGATATTTCAGTAAGTACATTTTTCCCGTTTACTAATAGGTTCTTCTAGACTTACAGTAGATTTACTATAAGAGCTGTATTTATTATATTTCGTTTAAGGTTATGAAGGACTTTTAGTTGAATTTTTCTACATTGTAGTGAATAGGCCTCACGTTTCCTTTGATTTTCACATAGCTTTGATTCCCCAAAAGTATTCTTATGTAGGCTGGACTGCAGCTTTAACCTAGCATATGTCTCATCAGCACCCTGGCAGAACTCGAATTGTAAGAGTCAAACATATAATAATACACGTTAACGATTACGCCACTCATCCACAAGTGTCCTTGGTCCATAGGGCAGATGCAAATTTAAGGGAGAGGAAAGGCATTTCATCGTATCACATTTTGTGTTGTGATTGTCAATGCAGCAATATTTGCTATAGAAATAGACTA